AGAGACCATCAAGGCCCACAAGCTTCAATTCAGACAGCGGTTGAATGTGAAGTGGGGGGTACCTGTAAGACACTCCAATGCCAAAGTAAGGTTCAGTGCAAGTAGAATGTGAAAGTATGGATCAATGAATATATACCTGATCCTCTCGAGTGAGAGAGTATTTATAGCCCCTAGCACTGGGCCAAAGTCCCCATATTAGGTTGACAGAGCAGACCCAAAATGAAGATTGTCAGGATCTACGTGAGTAGTGAAGACCAGCACGTGGTCTCCCTCGTGAGTGGACTACTCTGAATTACTAGGAGGACGTGGTTACGGTATTTTTGGGGTCAAGATGACTCCGGGATATTTGGAGACGTGGGCGTCTTCCCTACAAGGAGGGTGCCCGTCAAGACCTCCTGGGAGCCGTTAACACTCCTCGGAAGCCCTATAGCGAGGAAGGCCTAGGGGCATGTCCTCAGTGCAAGGGTGGAGTCGTTGTCCGACATAGTCAAGGGCAGCCTCATTCTTGCTGGCCTTCACCTATAGCATGGTTGGATTGGGCCTGGTATGCTGTTTGGGCCAAGTGCAGGCCCAGTCCAAAACACCCCCCTTCTTACCCTGGATGACCCCACTCAAGGAGACCTCAACTATAGGTTGTCATTTTCAGGATGTGAAATGCACAGAAAACCTCTAAAAGAAGTCCATCCACGAACCGATTCTTCTGTCAGACAGACCATTAAACTACAACTGAGTCGACCTAATCAAATTTAACATAAACAACTTACACTTGGAGGCATAATCATTGTCGAAGTAACTCAATCAGTCACTTATAGGCTACACATGCTTGTCTGGATCAACTGTGTTGAAAAGTAGATTGATAAGCTAGAATATCTTTCCAATAAAAATCATAAAGCAATTGGGATGGTGAAGGTCACCCTGAGAAAACTTTGTGAGACTTTGACTGTTAAAGAGAATCTTATCTCAATCTAATGAGACTCTTAGCCATGCTAAGGAAGCTCTAAAAGGGGAGGTGGCCACTTTCTTAAAAGCTTGAAAAACTCTAGAAAAAGAGAAGAAATACGTGGAAAGGTCCCAGTTTCATTGAGAACATCACGAACTGAAAGGGTGTTTCTAAAAAACCAACTTTAAACAATTGTAGATGCTAGTTGCACTTGTTTCCACCCATTATTTGAGAATGCTTTATCACATGTTGAGCTTCTCCACCGTGTGGCATACCCAAAAATTGCCCTACCTTTTATGTTTAGGTTTTTTTTAAAAATAAATCGTAATATGGGAGGGGTAGAAAATAAAAAGATGGTATGTCAATTTAAAATGAGCCATCAATATCTGATGACTCATTAGGTTCTAAAATAGAAATTAATTTCAAAGAAAGGGTATGGTTTTAATTAAGGAGGTGTGAAAGACCCATTAAAGCTTCTTTCTTTTTATTATAATATAAAAATTGTTTATTTTTTATTAGAAGCCCAATGAGATTAAGACTTAATAGTCCATTAAAGTTTTTGGCTAGTTTTTAATAATGGAGGTGTATGTTTTTTAGGCCCATATATGGTCATATTTTTTTGAAAGCCCATTTCGCTTAAACCATAATCCACTTTTGTTTTACTGATTTACTATGATTTATCTATCAACTGTGTTATTATTACTATTTTTTTATCTTAATCAATATCTGATTATGGTAAGCAATATTATTAAAATTATTGTTAACATAGTAATTTGTATCATTATTATATGAATTATCAGATTTATTTTTAATTACATATTATTATTATAATAGTTTTAATAAAACGAATATTTTTCTGAATGTTTGACTGGGTCAAGATTTGGGTTTCAAACCCAAAACCCAACCCAGCGGCGTCATCCTCGTCTTTTACCCTAATCATCTCAAGCCCAAAATTAAGATACAGTTGTGGCCCAAAAAAATCGAAACAAGCACTATGCCAATCAAAGTAAAAACGCAGATTAACGACTACTGTACAAATCAAACTCAATCCAATCTCAATAATCAACAATCAAAGTATACACAGAAACAAAATCAAATCTCTGAATTTGTATCAAATTGAATCAAAAAATTAATATATTACAGAAACAATTCGAAGCTGATATCAATTACATTTAAGTATGAATCAATTTCAATCTCTAATCTACCCTAATCTAAGTCCTAATCTTCTCAATCACAGAATTGTAACGCTATTTCCTAATTTGTTCTACACCTAAACAATATCAATACCTAAGACTATAAAACTGAGGGGACAATAAAAATCTATCAAAAAACCTACAGATAAGAATACAGAAGAGGTAGAAAGGGAAACTCTGTTGAGATCAGAAGAAGAGGAATTTAGGGTTTCAATATCTGAAACTCTAAATCATTTCCGCTAGCTCCTTCCAAAACGCCGCCCTCAAATTTCCTTCACCATCGTCGTCATCGTCGGTGCCAGAAAACGCGAAGGAGACGGGATCAGGAAAAAATAGAATCAGAGGAGCACAATCAAAGATACATGGCTAAGGCGGTAACCCACGAAACTCTACTTAGCTTTTGTATAACTGTTTTTTGTTGATTGGGGATGATGGGTTCCGGTTAGGGTTTTGGGATCGTTGCGGCTACACAGCGGCGGAGGCCCTAAAATAGGGTTGTGTTTTTCTGTTGTTTTTGAGAAAGAAGAGAGAACAGAGAGGGATAAAATAACGGAGGAAATTAAATGGATTTTTTTTATAAAATAATTATATAACGTGTCATAATCATGTATAAATGAACCTTTAACGCTACCATGCTTTGCATCACACATCCCCAACGTGCACGTCCATGATAGCAATCGTACGCCCGACCTTACCCTGTCCAAACGAACTTAAACCTCTTGGGCCTGGCCCATTCATAATCGAACCCCCTCCTGCTTTGTTTTGCTAAGCGCGCTCTGAAATCACAGACCCCCAGCCTATTGGGCCCAGTTCAATATTTGAACTTGGACCATATTTCCTTATACACCTCCGTTTTTGTTGCGTGAACGATAAACGAACCCCGAACCTTTCTGGGCCTGAATTCAATATCTGAATTCAGGCCCTTATTGATAGCAACCCTCTGCTTTTACTTCTTTAACCTGAGTTGCACCCCCTGCGATTAATTTTATTTTTCTTTTTATTCTTATTATAACTATTTTTTATGTTTAATATTTATAATTTTTACTATTATTTACTACTATTATAATAAATCAAATATAATTTTTTCTAAAAACTCATTCAAATATTTATGTTATTACATTAAAAATCTTCATTTTTAAATCATGCATTAAATTAAAAAAAATTATAATTAATATATAAAAAACATTTAACAAACATTAAATCTTCTTTTTTTCATAATAAATTAATTCAACAATTTATTTTTTAAAGGGGTTACAAAGCATATTTTGATTAACTGCACGCCTAGTCCAAAAACTCTGCTATTTCCACACCCGGGCTAATTGCGAGGGGAATTAAAATACCTTTGTAATCCATAAAAAATACAAACTCATACGAACTACGAATTGAGACTTTGATTCTTCATAAAAGGATACGTAGACATATGATTAAGATTGTGGCGAGTTCCCTTAAAAAATATTAAAAACCTTTTTCCTAAAAAACACTTCTAAATCTTAGTATCCTTGTGAACAAGGTAGATGAAGGATACCTAACACCTTCCCTTCGTCTAAAATCGAGTCTGAAACCTAAAATTTCTGTCTGCGAAATTAAGATTTCCTATTAGATTCCCTTTCTTAGAATAAAAATTAGTAGTGGCGACTCTGATTTAAAAAGCAGTTGCAACACCGTGAAATTAAGATATGAAAGAAAAATATTCATGATGAACAAAAGATTATGGATAGAAAGATAGTTCTCTTTAGGGACAAGCTTGCATTCTAGCTTTCTTAGCCTTTTGATATTTGTTTTTGGCATATTTGTTTTGTAATGGTCGTGTTGGCTCGCTTATTGGAAATGAAATATTTTGTAATGACCATGATATTTTTAACTTTAAAATGAAAGTGAGATATTTTTTATTTGCATTATTGATTTTTCCTCTATTATTCATGTATAACTTTGTCTATTTTTTGGAAGAAAAAAAAATTGTGCTAAGTGTTCCAACCTTTGTAAATTGAGTATGTTGGTGTAGTATACATACTCCTTGTCGGCCTTTGTTCAAGATCGTTGTCCTTAGATCATTGTGTCGCTTTGGAGAGATGCATTTGGTTGATTGTTGGATGTCTCTATGGAACACGTCTGACCAAGACTCTTCTCCCCTTTCCTATCCACAAGCGAAAACATTGTTTCAAATCGATATTTATGAGGGAGTCATCGCCTTTGCTCTAGAGTAGCTAATTGTTAGAAGAGAGGTTTCCAAGTACATCACCTATACATTTGAGGTATATGGTTTAGTGTTAATACAGAAGGTGTAAGTTTTACCTTATTATTCACATAGTAATATAACATATTTATCTTTAAAATTCGAAAATGCATAGTAATATTTCAAGGGTGTAATATTTAAAATTCTTTATCATAGAGAAAAATTTGATTTAAAATTGCTCTTGAAATCAGTAACTTTTGAAGTTTGAGGTTAGAGTACTGCTGGAGGATTTAGTAACTATAATCCGCTAATATATCCTATCCAAAAAAAAAAAAAAAAAACTAAATGTGGTTTCTTCAAGAATATAAAAAAGATCAAATATAGATCAATAAAAGTTATTCGTAATCGTGAAATTGTTAAAAGAGATGAATTTTTAGATAGTATCTAACTCCAAGTTATTAGAGAACTATCTATAGTTATTCTACCTTTATTTAAGCTCCATTATAACTCTAAAGACTTCTAATAGTGTTTTTGTTCTAATAAAATTATTTATGTATTAAATTTTAGTCTTTTTACGATAATTAAAACTACTTACATAAATAATTTTGTTGGGATTAAAACGCATATGAGAATCCATGTTGTTGTAATAATTGAATACATGTGACAATAGTTACATAGAAAGAAAATTGATTAATCAGAGAGGAATATCAAGGCCTTTTCCAATCTCAACTCCAATCACTTCAAGTATTCCCTTGTTTATTATCTGCAAAACACATCAGTCATAGAATAAAGTTGATTAGAATGAATAGTGCTTAGTGCTTAAATGTGCAAAATGCAAGATGAAGAAGATACTTACAAGCTCTACAATGAAAGTTCCAATGAGTCCAATCATGCATGCTCTGGAGTTCCATATTTCTGCTGTCTTTGTAAAGCCTAGAAATGGTGGTTTAAACTTAGGCTGTACTTTTGGAAATTCAACCTGAAAATTCAAATTAATAAATAACAACTATTAAAAATTAAAAAAAAGAAAAAGAAAAAATTAACAAAAGTAAAAGAACTTAAAATGAAGTTGCATACACCAGAAGGAGTTTTGAGTGCTTGGACAGTGAAGGAAAGTGTCTTGTTGTGAAGTGATGGTGATAAATTCAAGCTATGGTTTTGAAGGAATAAAACTTGGTGGTTTGTAGAGTGAATTGGTCGGGTTCCTAAGATGAAGGATGCTGGTAATTTGGTTGATGAGATAGCCATGGCAATGGCAATGACAATAGATGCTAACTGCTAACTGCAACCAATTCTACACTGTGGAGTTATCTACTTTTTCCATTTTTTTCACTTGTTTTTGTGTGGTTCATATTGGAAGAAGATCGGGTTGACATACCTCATACGTGTAACCATAACAATGGCATATATATATATATATATATATATATATATATATATATATATATATATATATATATATATATATATATATATATATATATATATATATATATATCCTCTTATTACTATTTTATCAACAAAAATATTTTTTATTCATTAAATAATTAATATATTTTATTATTATTATATATCAAATATATTAATTATTTAATAAAAAATATTTTATTTATGATTTTTGTATAATTTTTTTATATTAATTAATAAAATATTGATTTTTTGTACATGTATTTGTTCTCTTATTTTACAAAAATTTATAAATTTTTATATTTCAATATATAAACTAAAAGTTTCATTATTTTTTGTTTTATATAATTTCTTCAATAAAAAATATAATTTATTAAAATTTTACTATATTTAATTTTTTTTTAAATAAATACTAAAATTGATGATAAAATATTTAGAGTATCGAAATTTTAAAGAAATTAAAAACAAAAATTGTTATATATAGAAGATACAGAAATTATAAAATTTAATCTTTTTCTATAACGAGGAATTTTAAACAATTATTTAATATAATTGATTAAAATTAGTTTTATACTATATTATTTTTATTTTTATTAAATTATAAATTTAAATTAAAAATAATTTTTAATTTTTTTCTTATTTAATTATGTAATTATTGTTTTAATTATATAAATTTTAATTAATAATATTAATTAAATCTCACCTTTTCTATATATTGTTTCCTTGCATTAATTATACAAAATATCATCGTTAAATGTATTTAAATATGCAATAAAAGATTTTTTTTAATTATTTATTATAAAACAGTTTTTTAATTTAATTTTAAAATTACTTTGATTTTTTTGTTTTTGTGTTAATGCTTTTATAAATTGAGAAATATCATTCCGAACAAATTTTGTATCTCAGTTACGACACTTTATGTTTTTATTTGTAAAAAAATATAAAATAAATGATCTAACCTTTCGGTTTTTTTAATAAATCGAAGAATAAATAATCTGATTTGACTATAAAAATACTCGTTGAACAGATTTAACCTTAATGTTATCTTATTTGTAGCCACTCCACCATTTTTTTGGAATGGATTGCAAAACTGGAAAAATATTCTTCTACCTTAAGCAAAATATTTTTCAGCTTTTGCGATTTATCTCAAATAATGGTGTTGATGTTGTTGTTGTTGAAGGTTTTAAACAACTATGATATATTCGTCGTTACTGATAGATTGCAAGTGCAAAAAAATATTTTTCAATTTTTGCAACTGACACCTTATTAGAAGTTAGAAGCATTCAAACTCACTGTCTATGCTAGTGAATGCGGTGATAATGATAGTGAAACGATCCATTCAAGATGCAATGATAATGATAGCACAACAATCAATCTTGGATCGCTAGCATCTTGTATGGGACCTGGACATTCTGTATTTTTAATATTCTGAGTAAACAATATAACCATTAAAAATAAAATTTAATTTAACACCTCGATTTATTTAAAAAGTCGAGGGGTTAGTTGAACTAACCCATCAGTTTTATTCCAAAACCGAGAAGATATTTAATTCCATTTATTTAATATATAGATTTGTTTGCTTCTACCGTTTTCACATAATGTTAACAATGCAATTCAAACTCTACTTCATTTATTACATATCATAACAAAGTAAACATTAAACATAAAGGAGATAACAAAATATAACATCTTCAAATTTTCATAAAATTTTCTGATTTCAATTTGTTCTTTAGTGTCTTGTTCTTCTTCTTTGAATCTTCATACATAACCTTCAAATAACCCATAGCTTCCGCCTTTGACTTCATCATGCTCTCATATTCAATTCCACCTTTTTATACCATGTCTTCATCCCATATGAACAGATTACATGTCTCTTTACTCCTCCAAAATGGACATCTCCAAAAAAGTCTTTCTTAGTTTTGTCCCTTCTTGCATTAGTACGAAACTATACGACAATCACGCCCACAAAATGGTACAGATCATAATTTTACAGAAGTAGAAGATATAGAAACACCTTTGGATAAGTTTGTCTTCAAAGACGACATTGTTTTAGTTTAGTTAGACAATACAATATTCCAAAATCGAGATGATAGTTAAGTGTTATTTTTCACTGTTTTCAACAGTCTTAAACAAATTTATGATGTCCATTTAAAGGTTATCAATTCTCAAGAATCCGCCTTTAGTGATCCGTGTGAAACCTAAGGAATACGCTAGTTTGGAATATTATAAAAGTGAGGCACTTGAGGTTCGAACTCATGTACTAAATGGTTTTGAAATAACTATTCATGTTGGGTTTGGAAACACTGACGTGTTAAATGTAGACTTTTCACGACGATCTTATTTATCTCGCTTATGTTGCCGACGTACAACGCTTTTTGCATCCGACATTAGAAGCGTTATTTGTAGTGGTGACCATTCAATAGAGTAGAAATTCAAACGAACCAATTATCAATCATTTGTGCCTCAATGCTTGATTCCAAAATAGGTTTCTGCACCAGCCCAACATAAATCTCAACAGTATCACATCTCCGCTTAAAATTCATCTGCATCACCACCTAAGTCGCTCAATATCCAAAACTTCTAACAATTGCAAGGATAATGCAATGCAACATTATGACAATATGGACCATGTCCTCTTGATAGTAGTTTCCTGACTATCCAGTTTTACAACATATCCACTGCATGAGCAAAATTGTAACATTATCCCTCTGGAGACTGTTACCCTACTATCGATCAATTACCTACAAAATAGCATATGCAATCGAAAGTCACCACTTCTCTTCTTGCCACACTGTATTGACTTGCAAAAAGAGGTTGAACCATCTGCATCAGCAGTTACAATTTCTTGATCAACATACATTTTTTTGAATTACAATATGGATCTATGTCAGTAAACATACCACAAATATTAGTAGTGCCATTTGAGATTACCAAAGTAGTGCAAACCTCATTTCTTGAACCACATATCTTTACTAAGCAAAAACTTACTAATACTCTTTGACTTCTTGAGTTACTATAAAAGTTAAAAACATGTAAACCAGAAGTGAGTACAAGTGAATACAAAGGTGATCAGTTAATAGAACACACAAACCAAAGTTGACAAATAGGTAAAAAAGACACACAAAAAAACTCAAATTTGAGAAACATGTATGAAAACCTACCGCTATAAAAGTAAAAAAAAACATGTAAACCATATGTGAATACAAGTGAATACAAAGATTATCAGTTAATAAAACACATAAAACAAAGTTTACAAATAGTTGAAGAAGACAAAAAAAAATCAAATTTGAGAAATATGTATGAAAACCAAAAACTATAAAAGTAAAAAATATGTAAACCTGAAGTGAATACAAGTGAAAAATCATATGTAATCATGTTGTAAAATAGAAAGTTAACAAAATCGTCAAAAAACACAACTTTAGAATCAACTATCGCAATACGAAAAATATCCAAGTGTAAGGAACGCTCGAAATACAATAGAGTCACCACCAAATTTTATTTATTTCAATAAAAAAGGAAAAATATCAATAAAAATCTTTAAATAACAAGAAATAGTATCAAACTGAAGTATCAAATACAAACTATTTAAGAAATTTTGGAGATTACAATCAAATCATATAGGAAAGATTGGAAGAAGGAACTAGATGATATAATGTGGGCATAGCATACTACACAAATTTTAAAACTCATTTAAGGATGTCCCCATATCAATTAGTATACGGTAAAACATGCTACTTAACAATTGAATTTGAACATAAAATCTATTGGACTATCAAATTCTTAAATTTTGATCTAAATACTTCGGGTAAGAATAAAATACTCAAATTAAACTAATTAGAAGAAATGAGGGTGTAAGTATACGAAAAATGCAGACATAGTTACAAACAAAAAATACCATGATAAATATATAGTTAAGTAGGATTTTTCGATAGAAATCGAAGTTGAGTGTTTTTCAAGTAAACTCAAGTCCAAAGACCATGACAAGTATTTAGTAAAATTTATACTTTACTTTTTTTATTAAAATTTATTTAAATTGATAAAAATTTATAAAAAGTAGAGGTTAGGGTGACTTAACTTATTCTAGTTATCAATCTTGTAAGGTTAAAATTTAACAATTTGATAGGGAAGGATGATTTGTCTTAGACTCTAAAAACTTAAGACAAATGTATCCATAAAATAAGTGCAATGTCATGATTTTATGTAGGAGCACTACTACGAAAAACATCTTCGGTAATACAATATTATTATAATTATTTATTTATCGTAATCATATCTCATTTTTTATGCGTTTTTTTTAAATTATTTTAATCTAAAACATTTCATCACGGTTTCTTTAAAGAACTGTTGTCATATAATTTAGGTGTGTCAATATTTTTTCATTTTTTCAGGAAAATAAACATGTCACTACAAGATAAATGTTCTCCAGCAAAGTAAAGCTGTGACGTGATTATCACGTGGCAGGTTGTGACGTGATAATCACGTCGCTACATAATTTTAATGATAAATTATGAAAAGTAACGTTAATAAAAGAGGAGTCAGAAAATATTTTTTATAAAAAAAGTTACAACGTGAATTCCACGTCGCAACCAATTAATTAAAATATATATTTCAGAAAGTTATAACCTACACATGGTGGGAAGTTTGAAAATTTTCAAATTTCAAGTTGTGACGTGATATTCACGTCGCAATTTTTTAGGGTGGGACGTTGCGACGTGATAATCACGTGGCAAGGTTGCGTGACTGTTTATATTTTTTTTCCATTTCACATATCTTCTCCATTTTTGTTTCTTCTTTCATTATATTCCTTTTCTGTTTCATCTTCTTCCTTCTACCTTTATCTT